CCAGTGGGAGACGTCAGTAATGACCTTTTATCGCCGTCCATCTCTCCTTATCTCTCCTCCTCCTTCAGGCTATCTCTCGGCCATCACCCTCGGACCAACAGACCTACAGGAGAGGCGAGAACTAATGTGAAAACAGAGTCGTTAAGCTTCCTAACTTGATTGGAGAATCACTGGCGTCTCCAGCCTATTTCATTTCGACTCTGGAAGGCATCGAATCTGTCAAAAACACACAAGTCTCTCAAAAGCATAAGTCTCTCAAAAGCACATGAGTCTGTCAAAAACACACGTTTCTCAAAAGCACATGAGTTTGTCAAAAACACACGTCTCTCAAAAGCACATGAGTCTGTCAAAAACACACGTCTCTCAAAAGCACATGAGTCTGTCAAAAACACACGTCTCTTAAAAGCATGTGAGTCTCTCAAAAGCACACAAGTCTCCCAAAAGCATAAGAGTCTCTCAAAAGCACACAAGTCTCTCAAAAGCATAAGAGTCTCTCAAAAGCACACGAGTCTCTCAAAAGCACAAAAGTCTCTTAAAAGCACACGAGTCTCTCAAAAGCACAAGTCTCTCAAAAGCACCGAGTCTCTCAAAGCACACAAATCCCTCAAAAGCACAAAAGTCTCTCAAAAGCACAAAAGTCTCTCAAAAGAACAAGAGTTTCTCAAAAGCAGACGAGTCTCTCAAAAGCACACTTATCGAAAGCACCCCGAGTTGGACAGCGGTGTGATGACACGCAAAAAATCATAAACTGTTTAGTGCAATCACTTATGATATCATGCAATTGCGCGCAGTCACATGAAAGCCCATCCAACCAGACATACTTTAATGCACTCTTTAACATCCTTTCATGCAGAATTAACTACGAGATATCAAACTCGCATTTTATAATTACGCTCTACATCACACGTCAGGAAGCTCGTGCAAGTTATCATAGCTAACTTGTTCTCTTATCGAACAATACACTGTTATGCCGTGTGTTATTCTAATTGCCAGTCTGTTGCGAAGATTGCTCTTGTGCCGGAGTGAAATTCGAATTAAGAAAATGACAACACGGGTTTCGCCTCATGCTCTTGTCTGTCATTGCCATGTTGTTTGCTTAAGTGTGTCATGATATCTGACATGTGTGGCGCTCAGCTTCTCTCTCTCTCTTTCTTTCTCTCTCTCTCTCTCTCTCTCTCTCTCTCTCTCTCTCTCTCTCTTCTCTCTCTCTCGATATATATATATATATATATATATATATATATATATATATATATATATATATATGTATATGTATATATATATAAACATATCTACATATATATACATATATATATATATATATATATATATATATATACATATATATATATATATATATATCCATCATCTATCTATCTATCTATCTATCTACCTATCTATCTATCTATCTATCTATCTACCTATCTATCTATTTATCGACCTATCTATCTATCTATCTACCTATCTATATATATCTATTTACATCCCAACCTCCATCCACCTTTTAGCGTCTCTCTCCCTCGTTCCCTCCTTCTCCCATCTCCCTCTCTCCCCTTCTCTCCTTCCCTCTACCCATTTCTCCCAATTCCTCTATCCCCCACTCCCTCCCTTCCCCCTCCCCCTCCCCTCCCCCCCCACCGCACCCCCCCCCCATCTGCCGTCACCCCCACCACCGCCCCTCATCTCCCCATCTCATTGTTCTTCAGTGGCAGGTTAGAGATAGTGAGAAAACAAAGTCATTAACTGGGTGACATGAGTGAAAATGGTTGTGGTTAACGCCCCGCAGGGAAGGGGAGGTGGGGGTGTGGGGTGGGGGGGTTTGGGTGGAGATGAGGAGGGGAGGGGGGGATTGGGGGGTGATGAGGTGGGGGGAGGGGGGTGATGGGGTGGAGATGAGGAGGGGGTGGGTGGGGGGTGAGGGGTGTTGGGGTGGGGATGAGGAGGGGGGTGGGGGTGGAGATGAGGAGGGGGGTTGGGGGTGGAGATGAGTGGGGGTGGAGATGGAGATGAGGAGGGGGTTGGGGGTGGAGATGAAGAGGGGGGATAGAGGTGGAGGTGAGGCGAGGTTGGGGATGAGTTGGGGAATGGAAGTAGAGATGGCGATTCGAAAATAGACGTAAAGACGTGGGGGGTATTGAGTAAAAAGGGGAGGGGGGGGGGTTGGGGATGGAAGGAAGGAGGGGTCCAAACAATAGGGATAAAAAGTGGAAAATTGGGGGGAACAAGGAGGGGGTTCGTGTTAATGGGAAAGGGGGAGTGGGGGAGGAAGAAGGGAAGGACGAGAGGGGAGAACTGAAAAGGAAGAGGAAGAGAGGCAACGGGAAGGGGGAGGTGGGGAAGAGGAAAAGGAGGAGGTGGGGAAGAGGAAAAGGAGGAGGTGTAGAAGAGGAGGAGGAGGTGGGGAAGAGGAGGAGAAGGAGGGGGAGGACAGAGGAGGAGGAGGGGAAGAGGAGGGGGAGGACAGAGGAGGAGGAGGGGAGGAGGGAAGAGGTAGGGGGGAGGGGAGAACAGTGATTGGAAAGGGAATGGAAGAGGAGGAAGAGGAGAAGTAGAGGGGGGGGGGAGATGGAGAGCAGAAAGACGAGAACGTGAGTATTCTTAGCCTCGTTGTTACCATTAGGCGTGTAAAGGAGGGAGACGGACAAGGGAGATGAAAGTGGGAAGCAATAAAGAGGGAAATTTACCCTAAATTATGAGGGTGAGTTGAGGTCAGTTCTCACGGTGATGGTCCTTCGGCGACGCAGCTGATTAGGGGATGCAGTTGTCTTCTTGTCCTTCTTCTTCTTCTTCTTCTTTTCGTTTCTTCTTCTTCTTCTTTTCTTTCTTCTTCTTTTCTTTTTTCTTCTTTTCTTTTTTCTTCTTCTTTTCTCTTTCTTCTTCTTCTTCTTTTCTTTCTTCTTCTTTTCTTTTTTCTTCTTCTTTTCTCTTTCTTTTTCTTCTTCTTTTCTTTTCGTTTCTTCTTCTTCTTCTTTTCTCGTTTTTCTTCTTTTTCTTCTTTTCTCCTTTTTTCATCTTCTTTTCTCCTTTCTTTCTTCTTCTTTTCTCTTTCTTTTCTTCTTCTTTCTCTTTTTTTTCTTCTTTTCTTTTTTTTCTCTCTCTCTTACCCCAACTCCTTCTCCTTTTCCCACCCTCTCCCTCTTTCATTTTCTCCCTCTCCCTCTCCCATTCTCTTCCTCTCCATCCCCTTCTCCTTTCAACTCCCGTTCTTAATTTCTCTCCTTCTCCCTCTCCCACTCTCCATTTTTCCCCCTCTTTCCATTTCTCTCCTTCTTCCTCTCCCTCTCTCTCTCTCTCCATTTTTCTCCCTCTTTCCATTTCCCTCCCTTTTCCTCTCTTCCTTTTTCTCCCTCTTCCTCTTTTCCTCTTTCTCCCTTTTCCTCTCTTCCTTTTTCTCCCTCTTCCTCTCTTCCTTTTTCTCCCTCTTCCTCTCTTCCTTTTTCTCCCTCTTCCTCTCTTCCTTTTTCTCCCTCTTCCTCTCTTCCTTTTTCTCCCTCTCCCTCTCTTCCTTTTTCTCCCTCTTCCTCTCTTCCTTTTTCTCCCTCTTCCTCTCTTCCTTTTTCTCCCTCTTCCTCTCTTCCTTTTTCTCCCTCTTCCTCTCTTCCTTTTTCTCCCTCTTCCTCTCTTCCTTTTTCTCCCTCTTCCTCTCTTCCTTTTTCTCCCTCTCCCTCTCCCTCAATCCATTTCTTCCCCTCTCTCCATATCTCTCCTTCCTCTCTTCCTTTTTCTCCCCCTCTTTCCATTTCTCTCCTTCTCCCTCTCTTCCTTTTTCTCTCCCTCCCTCCCTCTTCTCTCTCTCTCTCCCTCTCCGTTCCATCCTCCCCACCACTCTCACCACCTAGACTTCATAACAGCTGTTGAAATTGATGAAATAATGAAATAATTTAGATAATATGAGACTAGGTGATGACGAGGATTTTAGTGTGGTTCTTAGTTGGAAAAAATGTATATGATGATAAACATTGATGAAGGGAGGGAAAGAGGGAGAAGAAGAGAGAAAGAGAGAGAGAGAGAGAGAGAGAGAGAGAGAGAGAGAGGAAGAATGAGAGGTGGAGAGGAAGAGAGAGAGGTAGAGAGGAAGAAAGAGAGGTAGAGAGGAAGAGAGAGAGAGAGAGAGAGAGAGAGAGAGAGAGAGAGAGAGAGAGAGAGAGAGAGAGAGAAAGAGAGAAAGAGAAAGATAGAGAAAAAGAAAGAAAGAGAGAGAAAGAAAGAGAAAGATAGAGAAAGAGAGAGAGAGAGAGAGAGAGAGAGAGAGAAATGGAAATAGAAACAGAGAAATAGAGACAGAAATAAAAAAAATAGAAAGAGAAAGACAAACTAAGAAAAGGATCCGCACATACACTCACATACATACATACAACAACAATTAAAACAACCAAAACAAAACAAATCAGACAAGCAATCAGAGGATCTACTTAAAAGCCCCTTCACACCCACCCCCTACTCCCCCTACCCCCCCCACCCCACACCCCCACACAGCCATCCACGTTCACACGCACGCACGCACGTTCCAGAGTCCGTCCTTATCCATCACCATCTCGACCCCCCCCCCCACCTTTCCCCCCCCTTCCCCTCCCTCCTTCCCCCCCCCCTTCCCCTCCCTCCTTCTCCTCCCCCCCCCCCCCTAAATTCCTTCTGAGAGCTCCTGTGAGGACAACAGAAGAAGGGATGTGACCGGCGTAATAATCAGCCAATCAGAAACACGGATCGGGAAAGGGAGGGGGGAACGGGAGGGAAAGGGAGGGAAAGGGAGGGAAAGGGAGGGAAAGGAAGGGGAAAGGGAGGGAAGGGGAGGGAAAGGTAGGGGAGAGGAGGGAAAAGGAGGGGAGAGAAGGGAAAGGGAGGAAAGGGGAGGGAAATGGAGGGAACGGGAGGGAAAGGATGGGAGAGGAGGGAAGGGGAAGGATAAGGAGGGAAGGGGAAGGAAGAGGAGGGAAAGGGAGGGAAAGGAAGGGGAAAGGAGGGGGAAAGGGAGGGAAGGGGAGGGAAAGGTAGGGGGAAAG